CAGTTTTACAAACAGCAGCCTGCACATGTACGACCTGCAAGAGATTCCCGCCAGTAGAAAGTATGTCGTTGTAGGTGATGGTCGACTGCTCGAATTGCAAGCTATCGGTAGCATCAATCTTAGTTTCTTTCAGGAGGATGATAATGGTGAAAAAACGACCATGTGTGTAAAGCTCACTGACGTGTCTGTAGTAGAGAGCCTAAGCTTCAGCTTGTTTTCCGCGCATGCTGTTTCTCGAAAGCAACAAATCCTGCACGACGAGCGTGGTGCAACCCTTCAAAATGGACTGCTCTTTGCTAGGGAGGAAAAAGCGTCTGCAGCATATGCCATGCGGTTACCATACGACCCATCTGCGACTATTGTAGACTCTGCTGCTTTGCCTGCATTCGTGACTGCCCCCGATTCCGCCCCCGCCGTTGGCTCCACGCGTTCCCCTTCCCAAAAAGGGGGCTCCGCGGAATCATTGGTGTCCGTATTGCGTGTTCCTTCCGCAGGCTCTGCTACCGTAGTACCTTCGAGTGAGAGCGTCCCGCCCACTGGTCCCACCAGTGTAGTACCTGCGAGTGAGAGCGTCCCGCCCGCCGGCTCTGCCGACGTAGTACCTTCTTCGGCTTCCGAGTTTGTGTGTGTGGGTACTTTTCCGGGTATGGATCTAGGAGATACGAGTGTGCTCACCGACGAGCAGCTCATGGATGGTTATGATGACACCCCATATGAAGATTTTTTCCCCGTATTTATCCCAGAGAGTGACGCTGCGAATGCGGCTGGTGTTTTGGATAGCATTGATGGGGGTGCTGATTTTGACTTGGGTGCGGCCGCGCTTGGCCCTGGTGCGTCCCCGTTTGCTCTTGGTTCGACTGAAAAGTCCGTTGACATCAACCGCTTCCACCGCTCCCTTGCCCACGCTTGCGAGCCTCTTTTGAGAGAAACTGCCCAGCAGAGAGGCATCGTGCTCACCGGCAAGCTGGAACCGTGCACGGACTGCATGAAGGCGAAGGGCAGGCGAGCGTCGGTGCCGCGGGGGCCGGGAGCGCGGGCGTCCAAGCCTCTCGGGCGTGTTCACCTGGACCTGTGTGGACCGCTGGTGCCTTCCCTGGGCGGCAACCTCTACCTGTTCGTCGCCGTGGACAGCGCCTCGCGGTGGAACAAGGTCTACGGTCTCCGGCGGAAGTCCGACGCGCTGGCGGCAACGAAAAGGCTGCTGGCGGACGTGGGGCGGTACGACCTCGGACGCATCGAGTGTTTCCGCGTCGACAACGGCACCGAGTGGACCCGCGGCGATTTCCGGCGCTTCTGCGACGACAACGGCATCGGCGTCGAGTTCACCCCGCCTGGCGTCCCGCAGTACAACGGCGTCGTCGAGAGCGCCATCTGGCGCATCATGAAGGCCGGCATGGCCGCCCGCCGCAGCGCTGGCCGTGTGTTCGACGTCGACTTCGCCTCCATCCCCAGCCTCGACGAGCGCGGTGACCGTCTTTGGATGGAATCGGCGAAGTGGGCCGCCGACGCTCTCAACCAGTCGGCGACCAAGGCCAACCCCGGGCGGCGCTCGCCGCACGAGATGTTCACCGGCGAGCAGGGGCCGTTCCGCGTGCTGCCGTTCTTCCAGCCCGGCTTCATGCGCGAGGATCGCCGCACCAAGCTCGACGACCAGGCCACCCTCTGCTACTACCTGAACGGCGGCGACAACCACCCGAGCGGCACCGTCAAGGTCCTCAAGGCGTCCACCGGCCGCGTCGTCTACACCAACAACGTGTCGTGGGTGACGTCGGCGCCAGCCGGCGAGGGGGGTTCCGCAGGTATCACCGCTGCGCCGACACCCCCCCCGTTCACGCCGCCGGTCGTCTCGATCAACTTTGGCCCAGCACCGACGCCTTCGACCGCCACACCGCCACCGCCAGCGCCCACGCCGTCGCCCGCTCCCGCTCCCGCTGCCTCTTCGCCCCCTGCCGCAACGCTGCCGCCAGCGACCACGCCGCCGCCCGCTCCCACGACTTCACAGCCGCCCTCTGCCACTTCGCCGTCACCGTCGGCGACCCCCGCTCCTGGCCATCCGTCCTCTGCCTCTCCGCCGTCACCGTCGGCGACCCCCGATCCAGACCAGCCGCCGCCGCCGCCGGACCCCGCGATGCCCCCGCTTACGGCTCACGCCATGCGGCAGCTTCGCCCGGGTACAAAGGCCGAGGGTATGACAGACCCGCGGCTGCCAAGCCGTACGAGATCGGGCACGAGGCACAGCACAGGACTCATCTCGATGCTAGACAGGAACACTCTGGTGTCGATGCTGGAGGCTCGGAGCGCGGTGGATAAGGAGCGCAGGGAGCTGGGGGGGGCGGAGGCCGGAGAGCCGGGGGGAGCGGGGGCCGGAGAGCAGGCGGGAGCACTCGCAGCAGTGGACCCGGGGGCTGCAGGAGCGGGCTTTCCACTCGCATTTGCCACGCTCCTCGCCAACCGGGAAGACATCGACGCCACGCTGCGAGACCAGCGCCCGCCGGAGCAACGCCCTGACCTTCCGCATTGCCAGGCCAGCGACCTTCGTGTCCCCAAGAGCTACAAAGAGGCCATGGCGTCGGAGCACCGGCACCTTTGGAGCGACTCTATGCAAAGGGAGTTTTATGGCTTGTTGGAAGCGGGGACTTTTACTCCGGCGAAGTAGCAACTAGTGGAGAACGCAATTAACGCTAAGTGGGTATTCGATTGGAAGGCAGATGAGTTTGGATGGCCCACTAAGGTTAAGTCGAGACTTGTAGCGAGAGGTGATATGCAGAGAGAGTACATTGACTTTGGAGAGTTGTACGCGCCTACCGTTTCTGTTTCATGTGTTAGGATGTTGGCTGCTTTGGCGTGCGAGTTGAACCTCGACTTGTGTCATTTCGATATTGAGCAAGCTTTTGTGCGTTCGGAGTTGGAGGAAGACGTGTACATGCGTTTGCCGCAGGGATGTGGAGCTCTATCTGGAATGATTGTAAAACTAGGCAAGAGTCTGTATGGCTTGAGACAGGCATCTAGGCAGTGGCATGCAATGCTGAAGAGGTGTTTGGTGGCGTTAGGATTTGAGCAGTGCATGGCCGATGCTTGTGTGTTTCGTTTGATTGAGGATGGATGTGTTGTTTTGATTTTGGTAGTACATGTAGATGACATTTTTGCTGTTGGAGAGAGGGAGAGATGTGATAAGTTTGGCGCCGACCTTAACAAGTCCGTGCCAGTGAAGAACCTGGGAGAGTTGAGATGGTATTCTGGGTGCTTTTACGAGAGGAATAAGGAGACCGGTAGGTTGACGATTTCTCAGCAGACTTTCACGGACGAGCTAGCAGCAGAATATGGAGTAGTGGGAGGTAGGAGCGTTCCGATGTCTTCGGGTGTGAAGCTTTCTGATTTTGATGCGGATGAGGTGGCGACAGACTTTCCGTTTCGTGAGCTGGTAGGATCGTTGATGTGGCTGGCGACTCAGACTAGACCAGACATTGCGAATGCAGTAAGGGCAGTAGCTAGGTATTGCGCATCTCCGAAGCTGGTACACTGGAATGCAGCGATGGATATTTTAGGCTATGCGAGGAGGACGAGTCACTTTGGTATTTCGTTTCAGAGAGGTACGGTAGAGGGATTCAGCTTGCAGGGATACGCTGATGCGGACTTTGCAAGCAAGGCAGCAGACCGTAGGTCGGTATCAGGGGGGATCGTGACGTGTGGAGGAGGCGCTGTGTCTTGGTTTTCCAGAACGCAAAAGTGCGTCACGCTTTCGACGACAGAAGCAGAGTACGTCGCGCTAGGCGACGTAGTGAAGGAGATTTTGTTTTTGAGGCAGATTTGGCGTTTCATGTTGCCGCAGGTCGGCATGCCGTGCATCCCCATCTTCGAGGACAACCAGGGGGCGATTCAACTAGCGCAGAACCCCATCTCAAACTCGAACTCGAAGCACATAGATGTAAGGCACCATTTTCTCAGAGAACTGGTAGAGAGGAAGGAAATTTCGGTCATTCACGTGCCGTCGCCGTACCAGCGTGCAGACTTCCTTACGAAGAGTTTGTCGAAGGATGCTTTCGAGTCTCACCGTGATTTTGTGATGAATTTGGCATGAACATTTTATTGTTTTTCTGATAGGTTGTGTTTTGGTTTTGTTTTGCTTCTCGTTTTGTTTCCCGTTTTCTTTCATTTCCCGCGCCAAGTATTTGTTACGCGCGATGCAGCATTCATATTCCTTTGAATTGTTTTTCTCTCTCTTATGTTATTCTGGTAAAGTCTTGGTGGCATATCGTCTGGGAAAGACGTCTTTTGGTTGAGATATCGGGTGTTAGCGAAGTTTTCAGTGAGAGACTGTTGCGAGCAGGGGGGATGTTAGATATACTCGCAGCAGTATCTGGTCGTGAGGATCCCAGGGGATACGTGTTGGGAATTTCGTGTGAAGTAGGGTACCACGGGTGCAGTCACGGGGATCCTTTTGGCGTGGTTGGTGCGATGGAGCTTGCGTGCGTGCTGCGCACTTCTTCTTCCCTCTCTCTCTCCACCACCACCACCGTCTCTCTCCACCACCACCACCGTCTCTCTCCACCACCACCACCGTCTCTCTCCACCACCACCACCGTCTCTCTCCACCACCACCACCGTCTCTCTCCACTCAAGTTTCCTTCTCCCACTCTCTCTCCAACTCTCTCCCAACCTCTCTCTCTCGGCCTAAGACGGCCGACTACCCAGTGCCCCAAAGTAACGTCCAGAACGTGCTTGCTGCACCCCGCGTAGTTTACCTCTTTCAAAGTTCTAGGAAGCTTCTGGGGAGACAAAGGGGTTCAGAATGGGAACCTTTTGTGAGAACCGAGAACCTGGCCAGAACTGCAGAGCTGAGCTGGTAGAGCTGGCTGCAGATGACAAGATTACAGGAGGAGTGGAGTCTTCTCGCTTCTCCGCTCCTCTGCGCATGCTCTTGTTCTCTCTGCTCTCTCCGGTGCTTCTCCGTCATATCCCTCATTGTAGTGTGCGTTGCCTCATTCCCACCTACGAAGCGGAAAACAGCCAGCAGTTGTACGAAATTTGTTCACACAACAACAGCACCAGCAGCCAGCATTCCCCATCCTGATCCATCGAGTCAGCCCATCACACAAGGCTCCCGCCTCGATTTGTACCGAGCGCCGACCGTCGGATCGGCGCCAAAGAGGTCACGATCGGCCTGCTAGCCCGTGACAGAGGATGGAGAGAGAGAGAACATGAGAGAGAGAGAAATACTGGCTTTCTTTTGTACCGCGTATGGCTGTGTAGGTTGCGTGAGATACCACACCCCCTGGCCCGATTGAAAGCTCGATTACCGGCAGGAAAAGCATTGAAGGTGCCGAACATGGCCGCGTTTGAACTAGCTCGTTGGAACCGTCTCATGAAGAGCTTTCCGAAACCGCACCATTTGAATTCTGCTTCCCCTTTGACGTGGAGCAATCGAGCCTTGGAAATCGGTTCAGAGGGGGTGTATCTGATGCAACCTCAGTCTAGTGTACACTGCTGTAGCATACGATAGTGAGAGCGGTGGAGAGAGGTAGAGAGAGGAGGCGAGAGAGAGAACCATGCCCGAAACGTCTGAACGTTTCACAAAAACGCCGCTGTTAATGGTGGTATTTGAGTACAACATGGTCCGAGCATCACCGGTGACAAAATATTTTGAAACAAATGTTTTACTGAAAATATCTGTCCTACATCAGTAATCACACAGAACGACTATACCAGTTCGAGATACGACCAGAGTCGAAATGGATGTGCTGAAGTATTTTAAGCGAGTGGAGGGAAAACGGCTTGTCGAGCGCGCTCGTTGTGTAGACTACTGAACCTAGTCTTGATGTCTTTTCACCCTTGGAAAATCCCCCACGTAGAGACGAAAACAGGTGCCCCCGTGGAGTCCCCACCCCCCTTCCCTGTTGGGTATTGACCAGCGCACAAGGCCTTTGAAATTCAATAAGCGGGTAAAAAGAAAGAAACTGCAAAAGAGAAACGGGAGTTTTATGTCCATCTATGTACCACTAGGAGTACGAGAATATTGTAAATTACAACACATATTGCACTAGCACCTTTCGCACGCCACCGCTACTCTTGTTGGCGCCACCCTGGGCAGCAATGGAGCGAATACACCATACACCATTTGAATTAGGTCTGGGTACAAGGTGACACTAACCATTCCATGATTCAAGGCAATCATTCCCCGCCGGTGAGACCGCGCCGTGTGATGTACACCTCCCCAGGGATCTTGCAACACCCCCTCTCATATTTTACGACCTACATTCTTGAAACGGATTCGTCTATCGCAAAACACATGAGAGTACACAACACCAAACGACGTTAAGGACAGGAAGCAACAATCGGCATCCCCCATGGACTACTGATGCTACCACACCGTTCTACCCACAACCCGCCACATGTGCGTGATGCGCAATTTACCGAACTGGTCGAACGACCTCATAAGAGGCTTGCTGCAGAAGCAGCGACCGCAAGTCCACACTTCCTTACGGCATGCATGCAGATGTTCGTGGGGGTGTCCGGTGGCACTTTAGACTGCCACGCTGCATGTCTTGCGGTTGATTTTACATTTTCCAACTCGTTGATCAAGGTTATGTTTAAAGTGAATGTGTCGAACCCCATGCCGCTGACGCTGGGTAGGTGCTTGGTCTTCTTCGAGTGGTTTTGTTCGTGAACGTTGCAGTTGACGCCCGTGAGCTGCGGGCACCGGGACACTCCGCCATACTTCATTTGGCAGGACCCTTGGTGGTTGCCCTCGTGCGGCCCGTCTGGGCCTAGCCAAAGACCTACTCTCTGGCCGTCGTAGAAGTGACCGAATTCACCAAACGAACGTTCCCGGTTGAAGTTCAAGGAGACCCCGTAGCCAGGTAGCTGTCCATCCTTGTCCAACTGCCCCCCCAGAGAGTCGCTAGAAAGCGCCCTCTGCAACGCTTTGACGGAGTGTTCGGCCACACCAAAACCGACCCCTGCCTGGACTAAACGGTCTGTTTTAATGGTATTGGGGAACACAACGGAACGGGGGAATAAGCAAATAAAAAGAGTGTGGCGAGTGTTCACGGAGCCATGTGTGTGCATTCACAGAGCAACGTAAGGTTGTGGACTGACACTCCCGGGGGTGGACGGTAGGGGGGGCGGTACATTATTTAGAAGGCGGGACAGAAAAGCGTCATTCCTACATACGAGGAACATGGTGCCGCTAGCACATTGCAACGATCCGAAAGAAAAAAAAACTTCGTTGACAATGATACGTTCTCTTACATGCGGGCTCGGATGAGTAGTTGCCCACGGCGTCGAGCGAGTCGGTGATGAACATCACCTTCTTCTGCACAGAAGATATCGAAAAAAACACAAAGGGCGCCCGAACAGAGTGCAAGGACAGTGAGCACCAAGGTCGAGATAGAAATACCCTTACTTCGCGCCAAGTAATGTACTTTTTAGTGTTCAGGATAAGGCTATTCCCCTTCAATTGAGATAATATTTTGCGCCGTCACAGCGCACACCCGAAATGATCAAGCAAGACACTAAGCTCCGTCATAATCAACTGTAGCACTTGGGAAACAATGTCTCACCTGGTGGTAAAGGGTGACGGCGTCCTCCAATATTGTATGGGTTCGCGCACATGTTGATTGATTTTGTGTTTCTCTTGTCTATCCGAGACGCAATGTTTGCCCGAAGAGACACGCGCCGTCAACAATCACGGTACTCAATTTTGATTAGATGGTCGTGTTAGAGTATGCCGAGCGTTATTTAACAACACTTCATCGGGCGCATCATGATACGCGACAACAGCAGCGAACTCTGTGTCAGGACCCGCGCCAGTATCTTCGTCACGTAATCACACCTCGCCAAGCCGAAATCACCGAGACGGCGTTTACTCACTGGGAGAATTGAACACAAGTTGCAAACTGACCATCAATTTTGCAGCAACACGGTCCGGACACTCCAGGACGACTGGAGGGTGCGTTTGACGGTTTGTCCGCGAGTCTATCAAGTCGCAGAGCATGGCCAGCTGTTCGTTTGCGAGAAGAAAAAAAAAATGCCCAAGAAAGTGAGTATTTGGCTTGTGCTGCCCTCGACGGCAAGGGTACCGTCCCTCATTTTTGCTCACACCACTGAAATGGCGATATCTGGACCAAGAAATGATCAATCCGCATTATATTTTTTTTTATGGTCGACTATGAGCTAGGCCAGCGTCACCGTGTCAGTGTTTCGGAAAAAATACTCAAATACCGGGTTGGGTGGTCGTTTTACACCTGCTGCAGCGGCTGGCTAAGGGCTAAGGAGTCATTTTTCGATTGTTTTTTCCACCAGATTTTGTTTTGTTCGTCAACAGCTTCATCAAGGTCCTGTGTTTTTTTGTTGTGTTTGTGCGCATGTATCTGGAGAGCACTTGCAAACTTGGTTTCGTCCGAACGGGTACGTTCCGGCCTCAAAAGTGAGTTTTGGGTGTCGAGGAAAACTGTTACAACGTAGTCAGACACAGTTTACCATAGGTGCGACTGCGGCAACTAGCCTTCCGTGGACATAATACAGAACGAAGAGATGGTACTTAGCAGAGAACATGAGAACAGAGTTGTAGCGGAGATAATTTGGCAGGCGAGACTAGCTGTTTTATTGTTCCGAACCCCGAAATTCCGGTACTCGGGCCCATACCCCGGAGACCCTCGGAACCTGCTGTGTTTTTGGTTTGTTTTTTGTTTTTGTTGTTGAGATGAGACACAAGCGCGCCTTCGCCCCTTTGTGCTCACTCTCATCTAGCACCCATCATAGCCTGACCAGAGAGTCAGTTGATAAGAACATCTATCTACATTTCTCTTTTCCGAAGCTCGCTCGGGCCTACCGATCTCACAGCAGTGTAACCTCTGTGATAGACTACTAACTCTACGAGCTACAGCAGCACCGCGGTGACAGCAGTGTAACCTCTGTGGTAGACTACAAAGTCTACGAGCTACGGCAGCACCGCCACCTCCGCTGCTGCAGAACGCCACACTTTGTGAGGTTATGAGCCTCGCTTTACGCGAACACTACTGTAGGAGCTGCGGACATCACGACGGAGGTCAAGCCATCCTACTGCTGTGGACTACAACAAACATCCGTCTGTGGAGTTCGAGCGGAAAACTGGATTCGGAGATTTGGGAGATCATCAACGGTCAGCGGAAACGAAAGTGAGCGCGCTACTTGGTCATCTACACCAAGGGGCTGAGAGTTCACTATGCACACACGTTACCACTGCTGCAACAGTAGTGGGTACCTCTGTGGTGAACAAACAGCAAAGTGTTGCGCGGGAAGCCTCCATTTAGAATTCGAGCAAATACTTCTGCGGCAGACAGGAGGGAAGACTGTGTATCAACAGCGAAAGTCGACCGGGAACCGTAGTCCTATCCACCGATTCTCTATCTAAGTGAGGAAAGGGTATCAGGAGCGGGGTCGCGAATTGGCCTACAACCGGAGCTCTATTCACCAACTTTCTATCTAAGTGAGACAAGGGTTTCAGAAGCGGGGTCACGAATCGGCAACCGGAG